TAACAGTAGCAAAATTACAGTTATAGAGTAGCAACGAAAATAATTTTATGGTTGGGGTCACCACAACATGAGGAACTGTATTAAGGGGTCGCGCGGCATTAAGAAGGTTGAGAACCGCTGCTGAGTCTAATCTGTTGTCTTGTCCTGTGATTATTTGCATGAAATGGAGTTCTTATCTCATCGGACATTTTAAAAATAAGCACTTTTGTTCTGCTTTACAATATGGACGTTAGGTGTTTCAGGCCATGTTCTTGTGTATAAACCGAGCTGTGCAGGGTCTGTGTCCTACGTCTGAAGTTCTTAAGGCCTGCGACCCAGCTCCAAAAATGGAATCAATTCACCGTGCTCGCTGACATAAGAGAGCCCCAATAATAGAACTGGAAAGGCTGACATTTCTAACAAATACATGTCTCTAATTCAACATTTGCAGCTGGCACACTGTCACTCCCAGGCAGTTATGTGGTGGAAATGAATAAGAGCTCCATTTCATTAAAATCTTTCCCCTTTGGGTATAATAGCTTATGTAACAGGAAGAGCAAAAGAGTCAGTTCTTGCAAATAAGAAAATAAAGCCATCGTAAGTACTAGTAGAGCTTGTGTATCTCCTTACTGCAGTTCACAACGCCTATTCCTGCCAGCAAAGGAAAGTGCGACGTGGCCCTCCTGCTGAGGAGTTATTGACTCAAACCCAAACAGACAAGAGAAAAATCACATCTCATCTGCTCCCTAAGAACTCTTCTTGAGTTTCTTTTAAACACCATTTTTTAGCTTCATAAACTGAAGCATCTTTCCCCTGAGAATTTTCTAGGAACTCCAAAGGAAAACGGTAGATGTCATTTATTGATATTCTTTATTTACATATTCCTTCTGATTCCTTTTTGGGGAACACATGATAAATAGTGTAACATTCTGAAGCAGCGGGAGTTGGGCTTTTCTAGCAGGATTCAGTCTCAGCTTTAACATAGAAAGGTGGGTCCTTGTCGGTCTGTCCACACTACATCCACAGCCCCCCAGGATCTTGTTTAGATTAATGAAGGTCTGGAAAAATGGGGAATGTTTTTATATGTTACATTATACTTTATAAGACATAAGCCCAGGTACTAGGTCTCCAGGGTTTTCGACATCTAGTTCTTGGGAGCTCTGGTGACTATGGATCAAATCTCAGAGCAGAAAGGGTACAGGGCCAGAGACCTGGCTTGATTCCAGCTCTGTCTCTCACCAGCTATGAAATGGTGGGCAGGACAGCCCCACAATCCCCTCATTTGTACATCCCTGCACAGATTCAGTGTGTACATGTCCTAGATTGGGTGCTGAGAAGGCAGAGGCCCGTGACAACCTATCTGCCCTTGACGGTCTCCAAGTTGAGCAGAGGAAAGCAGACATGGGGCAATGCATTACAATATCTCGGTGACAGGCACCACAAAGAGAGATTTAACAAAAAACTGTTGGAGACCCGATGAGGTGTAGCTAACGCTGTGAGGTGTCTGCTAATTTCACGGAGGAGAAAACATCTCAGCTGGTCTTGCGGAAGGAGGAGGCACTTCCTAGATGAAGGTGATAAAAGAGTTTCCCAGAAGGTATCATAAAAATTCTTGAAAGGTTAATAATTAACTGTGGCTGGAGTGGAATTAAGGGAACGTACCAGTCATTTGCCTGTCTGCTCCGAGCCACTCTCCGCTCTTCCTCTGCCCTGGTCTGCATCATGAGGGGGGGTGAGGGGTGACCCCCACACACTGTTGGCCAGGCTCCCTCGCTTTTGGTTGGGTTCAGCCAATGAGAGGCACTGTCAGAGACTAAAGGGCACGAGGAAGGGAGAAGCCAGAGTATCGCTCCCTCATCCCTTGGCATCGGGCATAATCTCCACGTGGACTGGTCTCCTCCATGGCTTTCATCACCACTAGATGGCTCCTCTCTCTGTGGACTAGTTCCCACCAGGCAGCCCACTGTGGTCCCCAGCTCCTAAGCTCTGGAAACACCATCTCTTCCCTTTGTCCCCTGAGTTCTA